AGAAACAACCAACGTGGAATAAACTTACCTTGGAAAATGAAGGTTCACAGCAAGAGGAAGAAGAAGAGAAATGACCTAAAGTTTTGGATTTTTCCCTTTTTTCCTTGATTTTCCTTACTCCACGTGTTATATATCTCTTAAAAGGGAATATAAAATTCCTTTCCTTTAAAAAGACCATAATGCCCTTCTAATATATCATCTTTGATATCAAGTCCTAAGCATAATTTCTAAAAATTAGTCCTTGAACTTTTTAATTTAATCAACTTAAAACACTAAATTTTAAATTCTTATATTTTCGTCACTAACCCGATGTTTGCGGTGTTACAAAACCAAAGAAAAAGTTAGGATGATTCAGAGTAGACTAAAGAAGGTATCAGATAGGCAGATGTCATATGCAAATATGAAACGCAAGGAAATCGAGTTTGTTGTGGGTGACAAAGTATCCATTAGGGTGTCTCTATGGAAGAAAGTACATCGGTTTGGACGTAAGGAGAAGTTGGAGCGCATTCACAATGTGTTCCATGTGTCCATGCTTAAGAGGTATCTTTCCCACCCTTCACATATCATATCTTTATAGCAAGTAGAGTTGAGCCCTGTTATGACCTACAAAGAAGATTCGATCCAAATTTTAGCCAATGAGGTGAAAGAGTTAAGGATTAAGAAAATTCCCTTAGTAAATGTGCTTTAGAGAATCATGGGGTCAAAGAAGCTACTTGAGAACCAAGAAAGACATGCAACTCCAGTATCCATATCTCTTATATCCAGGTAAGTTTCAAGGATGAAATTATATTTTTAAGGGAAGAGTTGTAACACCCTGAACCCTAGGTTAGTAGTTTGGGTTAACCTGAGACCTATAAAATGAGCCCAAAGGACCTATTAGAATAGTTTGGACCAAATTAAGTTAGTTGTGGGATTGAGTTGCGCCCAAGAGTTAGACAATGATGATGATTATATTATGAGAAAACAATAAGAGGTACCAAAAGTGAATTTAACCATTTCTTAAATCATGATATGAAAACCCCTTTTCTATTTTATGATTTCACATAACCAATTCCCCAAACCTCACCAAACATTCTTCATCTTCCTTTTATCTTTTCTATCTTCTTCTTCTCTTCCAAGGTGAAACAAAGGGAAAACTTTAAGGTTTTCAAGTTTAGTTTGGTTTAATCAAGGTAAGAATATTAATCCTCACCCATCAAGCTTCAATTTAAGCCTAATATTCAAGTTTTGGCCATGGAAACCAAAAATGGATTTTAGGGAGGTTTAAGGGAATTAAGTGGTTCAAGCTTGTTTTCAGTGGTTTTTAGTTTTTTAGAGTGTTCTTAACTCTAACCCAAGCCCATAGGTATGTTAGTAATCAATTTATTGTTTTGTTTAGTGAAAGAAGTGAGGGAGGGCTTTAAAGCTAGAGAAAAAGAAAAATTGACCATTAATTGATTTTGAGGGATGTTCATAGAACACCAAGTAACACATTTATAACTCTTTCAAACCATTTGTGGGTCATTAGAAATACAGTATAGCTTAAGTGTTGAGTTGAAGCTTTTTGAGCATTTTCATGGTAGATTCCATGTTATAGAGTTTTAACATGTTTTAAAGCCTTATTTATGACCCCTTGTGCTCACATTAAACATAAATAATGATTGGGAACCTCAAAATAACGATGTGGGTGAGTTTGAGTGTTAAATTCTTGCCCAAACAAGGTAATTTCGAGGGGTATTGGTACTGTAAGAACAGTATTGATATTGTTCTTAGGAGAGGCAAAAATTAGGGTGATTTTTTAGAGGAGTATCGATACTCATTATCTCAGTGTCTGGCTTCGAGACCAGTCTGGGGGTATCGAAACCATTTTTCCAGTGTCCATTTTTTGTATCGGTACTCAAGAGGGTATCGATACCTAGGGTAGAGTATCGATACTCCATATAGGAGTATCAATCTGCATCAACTGCATACAAGCAAATCAAATCAATATACCAGAAACTCACCACTACGCCTTGAACATTTCGCTCATTCTAAGGCCTTCTTTTGCAAGAAAATTTGTCATAGAGTTTCTTTCTCTTGGAACATAAGAGAATTGAACATTCCAATTGTCTTCTCCATTTTTTTTATTTCTTCAAAATGATCTTACCATTTCCAAGGACATAAAGGAGATCCAATTTAAATTTACATGAGAATCATATTCCACAAATCAGAACTGTTTTATCATTATAATCAGCTTCAACAAACACTTCGATGGCAGTTTTTAAAGCCATAAGTGAAGTCCGAGCCTTGAGCAACAGTATGAGCTGAGAACATTGCTCGCATAATCCCTTCAAAAGTTCTAAGTACTCAACCACAACTTGTCACACCTTCCTTCGCAGCTCCATTAACATTAAATTTAACCTGATTAGCAATCGGAGCTTGCCAATCTGAATCAACCCTGCCTTTATATCAGCTATACAATCCCATGGCATTTCCCACTAATTCTTTTCATTTAATACATCTTCTTCTTTTTAACGCTTTATACCAATTAGTGCATACATCTTTGAGAAGAATACAAGATCTTTAAATTTCATATTTTTATTCTGAAAAGTTTTCTCATTTCATGCTAACCATAGACTTCAAGGAATTACTGCTAGGAAAAGTAACCAAATCGACTTTGTTATTCCTGCCAACCGAACTTGAAAACAAAAGTTAATAAGTTCATCCACACTATTCAGATTTAATCAGCGTATTCCCTACCAACTACAAATTAATTTTCAAGCTTGAAAATTAGAAAAGGAGTAATATAATCACCGTGTTAAGATTAACTTTAAAGTTTAAACATTAACTATTAAACTTGTAAGAGAAAAATTGAAAAGGTGATCTTATATGCACAGGGTCTAAGTTCAAAGTTTAAAATAAATTAAATTGATCAAGATTCTCTCTTGCATGAATTCAGAAGGCTCAATCTATTTTTATTTTTCATCATTTTTTTAATTTTATTTTAACCAACCGAATGATCTATTATAAAATTATTTCAACATTGGGATTTTCACTATCTCGATTTATATATTATTTTTTTACTTTTAGATTTGCATGGAGTAGTAAATTTACCATCATTTTATCTTAGAACATATTTTAAAATTTTAATTATATGATTTCTGAAAATTGAGTATTTTCTATTTTTCCTTCTTAATTTCGATGAAAATACTTGTTCTTTTAATAATTTGGAATATTATAATGTAGGGTAAATTATACTATTTCTCGTTGTACTATACTCTCTCTGTTATTTTTATCACCCAACTTTCAGTTTTTCTATTTTGCTCACTGAACTTTACAAATTGAATAATTTTTCTCACTCTCCCATCTACAGCGGTATACAGTGGCCAAAATGAAAATGACGTGGTGACCGGCAGAGAGAAAATGGAGGAGAGAAGAAAAAAAGGGTAAATTACACTATGAGTCATTAAACTTTACTCTCTATCATATTTTACTCAACAAAACGATGTCGTTTTAGAGTATATTTGAGTTTTTCAAAATAGCGTCGTTTCGATTCCTGTACCACGTCATAATGTCATTAAAAAGTTAACGACACAGTGAGCAAAATAATTCAATTTGTATAGTTCAGTGAGAAAAATGGAAAATTAAAAGTTAGGTGAAGAAAATAGGAGAGAATATAGTACAGTAAGGAATTGTGTAATTTACCCTATATTGGAACATTTGTTAGAAAAAATTAATCTATTAGTTATATATATATATATATATATATATATATATAATTCTTTTAAAGAAAATAAAATTCTTTTTATTAATAATATCATTCGATATATTTAATGAAAGTATTTCTTGAATCCTAAAGAACGTATGCTTAAAAGAATTTCTTAAAAATATTATTTAATCTTCGCCTCAAACTAAAAATTCACCAAATCTAAGTACTTTTTATAGTATGCTGTTAATCTGTTGGTCGCCCATGGACTAATAATTATTTTATATTATGTTTCATTATCATTTTTTGTCTTTATCCATATAAGTATCTATGAATCATAAAAAATATCAAATTGATATTTTTCCTGACATTTTAATGGTAATTCTAAAAGAAAATAAAAATATATAAAAATATCAAATTTTTTCTGAAAAAATATTTTTTGAAATTATAAAATATTTTAAAATTTTAATTATATGATTTTTTAAAGATGAAATTATTTTTTTAAATACTTAACTTTTCAAATATAATTTCCAATGGCCAAAATCATATATTAAAATCATATTATTTAGTCGTCGTTTCCAACGGGCAATGGGTGATGGCAGCTGTGACTTTGTAGATGGTAATGCATATAATTTTAGTGAATTTTAATTTAATATATATTTTACTATGGATAATTACCATCCAACTAATTGTCCGGTATAATAAAATTATGTATTCAACTTTAATAAGCACAATGTAGGACCGTTAGCTACGTATGAGTATGCCTCATATACCATGTGATACCATCAAATTTAATTTCGGTGAATCTGTATATTTTGACAATTTCAAATAAAATTTTAAATTCAGATATCGGATTTAAATAACTATATTTTAAAATGAAAAAATTATCCAATGCACTAGAAGTCACTGAACTATCTTATAATGAGTATTTTGGTCATTTAAAATTTAGAAACTATAAAATGGTCATTAAATTTATTGAATAGTTACAAAATTGATCATTACAACATTGTGATTAATTCTAAAAGTTTGGTAAACTTAATGATAATTTCGTAATATTCTGATATATTCTAATGACTATTTTGTACTAGTTTGATAAATTTAATGATTATTTTGTAACCGTTCAAAAAATTTAATAATTTTTTTATAATTTTTAAAAGTCCATTGACTAAAACGATTGTTTTAGCATAATACGGTGACTTCTAGTGTAATTTATCACCCAAAAAAAGAGTAAATCTAATAAATAATTAACTTCTTTTTTTTGTTATAAATAGGGGTAAAGGCATGCACCAAAACACACACATCCTAAACACATAAAGCATAGATCATCTTACATGCAATGGCAACTAAATCTTTCCATCAACTTCTCGGAGCATTCCTTACGGTTCTCGTGTTGCAATCTTTTGTGGTTAAGTCTAGACCTGTGAAATCCGAATCTCCTGGTCAGGGAAGTCATGGCGGTCGACCAACTTCCGACGCCTCGTTTCATTCGGACGTTAACAACACCCTCTTGAGTGAGAGATGGAACACTTTTCCGGTGACCTACGGCTTCAAATCCAGCTCTTCCATGCCGGCATATTTAGATCCTCAAGCAGTGGCTACCGCCATTGATACCGCGTTCCGAAAATGGCAAGCCACCGTCCCTAAGTTCGCATTCCGAAAGATATATCCAGGCGAGGATGCTAATATCAAAATTGGGTTCACTCCACTACACGGGTATACTGGTTATGGTTATTCTCCACCAGATGGGAGGCTTTACCTAGATAACAGCCACACGAACTGGAGCACAAAATCTTACCCTGCGGGGTACGAACAAGACCTGATGTCCGTTTCCATGAATGCAATAGGTCATACCCTCGGCCTTGGGGATAGTACCAATCCGACAGCGGTCATGTACCCTACACTGTATGATGGAAGTATCAAAAGGGAGCTTAGCGAAGAGGACATGAATCGCATACAGATTTTATACTATTATACGCCACACCTTGAGTTAGGGGAACCTATGTAGGTTTCAAGACCTTGGGAAGCTTGGTTTTTAATTATCGTATTATATAAGTGATTAGCACATTTTGGAAGATTACAATATGTAAACGTTAAGGCTTCGTTGTCATGTTTGTCGTCTGCTGGTTTTTAAGTTGCTGTAATTGCATGTGCTACCCTAGTGCGTTCCGAAAGATTCGAAATTACTATGGCATCTCTATTAAGGTTGGGCATGATACTGGTTGTGTCAATTTTTTTTTATCATTTTGAATTCGAATCGATCTCGATCCAATTCAACTGTTGGTGATCTTTTATCCAACTTGAATATGAAAAAGATAAATATCTATTTTCGATCAGTAATGGTCATTTTACCTGGACCCAACGGATTTCAACTTGACCTGGCCCGATTTATTATTTTAACAATTCGAGTTTGAGTTGAATTTTCTTAAGGGTGGTGGTGGGTCGGATTAATGATTAAAAAAATCGATCCGACTTGACTCAACATAATATTATAATTATCTCTTATATATTTAGGGATAATTGTAATAATATCTCTTTTTCTATATTGTTTTTCAAATAAGTCTTTATTTTATCTAGTAAAAATAATTATATATATTTAGGTTGGATCAAAACGGATACAATTTAGATTTAAAAATCGAGTCAGATTCCAAGTACGGGTGAATGAGTTTAATTTTAGAGTTGAGTTCGAGTGACCTAAAAACCTTACCTGACCCCTGAACATCCATATGACTCTCACTCAGCACAATTAATTTTTTTTTATTATAAAATAGGAAGATAATTAAAATATTTATTAAAATTATTGTAGTAATTATACTAAATATGTAGGGGGAAATATACTATTATCTCAAGTCATATCAGATATTTTTTTATCCCAAATCTAACTAGGTTCAACCCAAACGTAAATACAAAATTAAGTCGAGTTAAAATTTTGAACAATTTTACTATCCCAGTCTCTACTCTCTACCGGTATATAAGAAGTAAAAGGGGGGGGGGGGGATATAACAAATACATAACAAATGGAGCCATGGCCATGTTTGTAGCATATAAATGCTCGGTCCACATCTTCACATCTATATATAGAACTAATATCCCATCATTAATTTATGAAATATTTTTTAATATATTCTAAAAAACCAAAGTATTTCTACATCCTCATTAATTTCTGGCTCTATCTATTTTGTTTCTAATTCAATCTCTCAATGACGATGTTGTATGTGTGATAAATATTTTTTTAACAATTAAAACATTATTTTTAAAAACAATTATGACTTTTATTTGAAAATGTTGGGGACTTTGAATTGATTTTAATTAAATTGAAAGAGAGTTGCAATCGACCTTTAGGTTAAGTGGGTCGAATACCTAAAACGTCCTTTAAAATAATTTTAAAAAAAATTATTTTTAAGACAAAAATTGGTATGCGTTTACCAAAATTTGATTCAATGGGTCCGGGAGTCGGTTACGCGTGGGGAAAGTTATGCACCCCACAATGCCCAAAAATTGTTACACAATCGCTTACACGTTGTCGTAAATGGTGGAAATTATGAATCGAATATAAAGTTAAAATATGATCTATTTATTAAATTGCTTCAAATTATTTATATTATTAGGGAAAATTCTTTAACTTGAAAATAAATCTTGAAATTAGCAATCCTCCATCGGGAAAACTATCTCGTCTATTTCTTATCAATAAAATAATATTCTCTCCTCACTGATTTAAAAAACACGAATCGAATATAAATGAAAAATCGACATATGTGTAAAATAAATTATCACATAAAATCGCATCGGATCATTTGAATAAAAAAGGATTGATTATCACTTAAAAAATAAATTCGATTTATTTAGAGCTCACATTTCGTTCGAACGTCGTATTGAATTACACTACTTCGATCAAGCAGTGCTTTCCATGCCCGTTCAACAAATCAATGTTCTCGAAGAAATCCAAATAACGTGTTGAAATACGTTATCAAATGAAAATGAATCGAAATGTATAAATGTATAAGTGTCAAATATAATGTATATGTATGCCTACTTAGTATATACAACAATATATATATATATATACCAATATTTATCCAATATAAGTGATGAGATATTCATATATAATATAGTGCATAATATATTCATCTACCATAATATATGCATATATAGTGTTGTGTGTGTGCGCGAGCGTTTTCGTGTGTGCGCGCGTGTTTGTCCGTGCTTGTGCGTGTGCGTGTATGCGTGTAAATGGCAAAATAAAAACATGCAATCCTTAAGGTCAGAATAAAAACAAGGAAAATATATATATAAACCATGAGGACTAAATTGTATTAACAATAAATAAAGATACCAAACCATAACACTAATGATGATAGGAGCAACCATCGAAAATATTAAGCAATAAAGGTGCCAAGAGTGAAAATAAGCCATAAATAAAATTCAAGACTAAAATGAAAATTATCAACAATATGTGCATGATTCGAAAAGTCATAAAAAGATTAACTAAATGAGACTCAGGACCAAAATGAAATACAGGTAAAATCAGATGCTTAAAATAAAAGCATACTCATTTCATGATCCAAATAAGAAATCATACAAATTACAAGGGTTGTGTGCGAGAATATCCCTTTTGAACGGTGTCGTTTTATTAAAACCCAATATAGGGTTTCTCTTCTCTCCCTTCAATCCCTTCATTCACCCCTCTCAGCCGCATCTGTCAAGGAAAAAAAGAGCCAAAAAGCTCTCTTAGGGAAAACTCCCTCACCGCTCACTCTAGTCAGCCACCACAATCATCACCGACAATGGGGAGCCCTCCAAAGCTCCTCTCGATAGTGGCCGGATTTTCTTCCTCAGATGGAGAAACAGAGGTCTTTGAAAAGGTAAGTTCCTTTTCTTTTGGGTTTTCTCTCGGTCTTTCTCCCTTCTCTCCCTCGAAAACCCTTTCTTTTTTCTTTTTTCTTTTTTATTTTCTCTGCGATTTTTCCTATTTGAATCTCCTCTGTTCTCTTTTTTTTAATTCCCCCGAATGTTTCTCTCAATCTCTCCCTCTTCGATTTTTTCCCTCTCTAATTTTTTCCCTCTCTAATTTTTTCCCCGAATCCTAGCTTGTTTTCTTCTTGTTTGCCTCCTCTTACATTTATGGTTTGTTTTGGTTCCTGAATGATGAGATCTATGGGGGTAGGGTAGGGTTTCTGACTGATTTGGGTAGGTTGAATCCCAGATTTTCGGGATTTAGGTAAATTTAAAATGGGGTTTCTGACTTTTGTAGATTTTGTTGATTGTTGGGGTTGATTTGGTGCATTGTTCGGCAGGTTGATGATGAAGACGGCTCGGGATGTTGTCGGTGAAGCCCACGTGCCGGTTGGAGGAGCGCATGCATCTCACGTGTCGGCGGCGGTCCAAATTCTGCTGATGGCGGTGGCGGCCAAAGATATGAGTTAGGGTTTTAAAACCCTAACTGAGTGGGGTCGGGTTGAGTTGGGACGAGTTTGATGTAATCGGGTCAGCTTCTATCCTGGGTCAGGTCGTGCCTGAGTTGGTCTTGTAACTGGGTTCTGTTAATGGCTTCGCGTTGGGTCTGTAAAAATGTAAATAATTTGTTATAATAATAATAATAATAATAATAAAATAATACAAAAAGAACCGGACAAAAACGGTCATTAAATTCTAATAATGAGTATTTTGCTCATTTAAACTTTAGAAACTATAAAATGGTCATTAAATTTATTGAATAGTTACAAAATTGATCATTACAACATTATGATTAATTCTAAAAGTTTGGTAATCTTAATGATTATTTCGTAATATTCTGATAAATTCTAACGATTATTTTGTACTAGTTTGATAAATTTAATGATTATTTTGTAACCGGTCAAAAAATTTAATAATTATTTTATAATTTTGAAAAGTTCATTGACTAAAACGATTGGTTTAACATAATACGGTGACTTCTAGTGTAATTTATCACGAAAAAAAAGAGTAAATCTAATAAATAATTAACTTCTTTTTTTGGTTATAAATAGGGGTAAAGGCATGCACCAAAACACACATCCTAAACACATAAAGCATAGATAACTAAATTTTTCCCTCAACTTCTTGGAGCATTCCACGGTTCTCATGTTGCAATCTTTTGTGGTTAAGTCTAGACTTGTGAAATCCGAATCTACCGGCCAGGGAAATCGTGGCGGTCAACCAACTTCCGACGACTCGTTTCATTTGGACGTTAACAACACCCTCTTGAGTGGGAGATGGAACACTTTTCCGGTGACCTACGGCTTCATATCCAGCTCTTCCATGCCGGCATATTTAGATCCTCAAGCAGTGGCTACAGCCATCAATACGACGTTCCAAAAATGGCAAGCCCTAAGTTCGCATTCCGAAATATATATCCAGGCGAGAATGCTAATATCAAAATTGGGTTCACTCCACTGATGGGAGGCTTAACCTGGATAACAGCCACACGTACTGGAGCACAAAATCTTACCCTGCAGGGTACGAACAAGACCTGATGTCTGTAGCCTCGAATGCAATAGGGCATACCCTCGACCTTGGGGATAATACCAATCCGAGTGCGGTCATGTACCCTACACTGTATTATGGAAGTACCAAAAGGGAGCTTAGCGAAGAAGACACGAATCGCATACAGAATTTATACTATTATACGCCACACCTGGAGTTAGGGGAACCTATGTAGCTTTCAGGACCTTGGGAAGCTTGGTTTTTAATTTTCGTATTAAATAAGTGATCAGCACAGTTTGGAAGATTACAATATGTAAACGTTAAGGCTTCGTTCCTTTGTCATGTATGTCGTCTGCTGGTTTTTAAGTTGTTGTAATTGCATGTGCTACCCTAGTGCATTACGAAAGCTTCGAAATTACTATGACATCTCTCTTAAGGTTGGGCATGAGACAGGTTGTGTCGACTTTTTTATCATTTTGAATTCTAATCCATCTCGATCCAATTCAACTGTTGGTGATCTTTTATCCGACTTGAATATGAAAAAGATAAATATATATCTTCGATCAATAATGGTTATTTTACCTGGACTCAACGGATTTCAACTTGACCTGACCTGACCTGATTTATTATTTTAACAATTCGAGTTTGAGTTGTATTTTCTTAAGGGTGGTGTCGGGTCTGATTAATGATAAAAAAATTCAATCCAACTTGACTCAACATAATATTATAATTATCTCTTATATATTTAGGGATAATTGTAATAATCTCTTTTTTCTATATTGTTTTTCAAATAAGTCTCCATTTTATCTAGTAAGTAAAAATAATTATATATATTTAGGTTGGATCAAAACGGATACAGTTTTGATTTAAAAATCAAGTAAATTCCAAATACGGGTGAATGAGTTTAATTTTAGAGTTGAGTTCGAGTGGGCTAAAAACCTTACTTGACCCGTGAACATCCATATGACTCTGACTCAGCACAATTAATTTTTTACTTATTTTTATTACAAAATAGGAAGATAATTAAAATATATATTAAAATGATTATATTAATTATATTAAATATGTAGGGAAAAATATACTATTATCTCATGTCATATCAGATATTTTTTATCCCAAATCTAACTAGAACAACCCAAACGTAAACTTAAAATTAAAAAAAAACTTATAAATTAAGTCGAGTTAAAATTTTGAACAATTTTACTATCCCAGTCTCTACTCTCTACCGGTATATAAGAAGTAGAAGGGGGGGGGGGAATATAACAAATACATAACAAATAGAGCCATGGCCATGTTTGTAGCATATAAATGCTCGGTCCACATCTTCACATCTATGTATAGAACTAATATCCCATCATTAATTTATGAATTTTTTTTAATATATTCTAAGAAACCAAAGTATTTCTACATCCTCATTAATTTCTGGCTCTATCTATTTTGTTTCTAATTCAATCTCTCAATGACGATGAAGTTGTATGGACTTGCAATGTCTACATGCACCTCCAAGGTTATAACCTGTCTCCACGAGCATGGTGCAGAATTTGAGCTCGTCCCTGTCAATCTCCAAAATGGTGAACACAAACAGCCTGCTTTCCTTGCCAAGAATGTAATTATCCATATTCCGTTTTGTTTATTTTTCTGCTGCATCTTTAAACCATGACTCGTATCCTAAATTTATTTATGAAAGTATATGCAGCCCTTTGGTCAGATCCCCGCACTAGATGATGGCGACCTAACTCTCTTTGGTAAGTTCTTTTCAAAATGAGCCTATGCCCTATTTAAGGAGGTTCATGGATCGTCGGGTCGGGTTAGTTCGAGTTTTTGACCTATTTGAATTTAATCTAAAAAATAAACCTCTTCACTTTTATCCGATTTAACTCGAGATTTAAGAGGATGATAGGACTATAAACGAGTCGAGTCGAGTTTGAGTATTGTTGAGCAACTCGAAAACTCTAAAATAGAGTTCGACTCATCTCAAAAATCCGTGAGCCTAAATTTTCAACCTCGACTCGAACTTGAAATCATGAATTGATGCTCGAAAAATCTTGCCAAAGCTCAAAATAAAAAAATCTTGAACTTAACTCGGTTAAAGCCCAAACTCGAACATAAACCTTAAGTACATGAAAACCTTATATTCTACTACATTTTTAAAAAAACAAACACATAAATGTTTAATATTATTAATAATTTAATCCTTTTTAAAATAAAAATTTTAATAAATAATTTTTCAAGTTGCTCGAGCTTTTCGAGTCTAGTATCAAGTAGTTTGTTTCATCTCGTTAAGAACTCGAGTCAAGTCAATTCGAGTTGAGTATTTATCGGGCGTTGACTGAGTCAATCTTGAGTTGCTCATGACATGTCTCGTCTCATTTACAGTCCTAGAAAGATCCCACCTAATCAGAAATCTAACTCAATTTTTTAGGTCAATATTCACACTCATTCCAACTTATATATATATATATTAGAACCTAATTGAAAGAAATAAAAAAATGTGTTATAATAACTTTGAATATATAAAGGATAATCATAATATCATGTCGGATCAAATTTTCTCACTGTCAACTCAAACCTAAATCTTAAAAAGTTTGATCTAATCCGAATTCAAACTTTAAAAATAAAGAACTAATCTAATTAAATCGAAATCCATCAAATTCGTGTGAAATGCGGATCCTAATTCTACCTTAATTTTGTTTCATTAATGTTTGTATGTACCCTTGAAAAAAAAAACAAGAATCCAGAGCAATCTCAACATATGTGGCTGAAAAATTCAAAGGAAGCGGTTGTGATCTTCTGAGAAGCCAAAACCCTAAAGAAGCTGCACTGGTGAAGGCGTGGATGGAGGTGGAATCCCAGCAATTCAGCCCCGCGATCAGCTCGATATTCTACCAATTCATCATCGTGCCCAGTATGTACGGTGGCTCACCAAACCAAATGATCATCGACGAGAGCTCGGCGAAGTTAGGCAAAGTGTTGGATGTGTACGAGAAGAGGTTGAGCAGCAGCAAGTACCTTGCCGGAGATTTTTATAATTTGGCCGATCTGCACCACCTCTCTTATATATACTATCTGATGAAGACTCCGTATGGGAAACTGATCAACGAACGCCCTCGTGTTAGGGCGTGGTGGGAAGATATTTCTTCCCGGCCGGCTTTCAAGAAGGTGGCTGCCGGCTTAACTTTGGGTGACAAAAACTAGTGTCGGATAAATCGTCGGTGAAGATAAAATCAAGGGCTAGGATTATCCTATTGAAGTAAGGGCATTTTGCAGTCCGTAGTTGAAGTGTTCACTGTTTCATTTCTTCTTTGAAAATAATTAAACGCTTCATTTCATAAAAGGATAAAGCAGTGATTGATTGATCCAAGCTCATTAATATGGCGTCTTTGAACATATTATTTTATTATTTAAAATTTTTAAGTAGATAATAGCGACCTACTCTTAGTTTGATCATGTAAAGTTTAGATGTGTGAATATTATGATCAAGTGGATGATATAATTTCTCTCTAAAAAAAATATTTAAGGACGGTTTGGAACTATAAACCTTGTATCAAACTCATAATAGAGGACTGAGATTAGAGTCTAGCATTTGTAACTCCCACTAGATCTTTAATTTTTTTCAACAAATATAATTTTATTAAAATCATCATAAAGTCTTAATTAAAAAAACGCCTTGTTAAAGATCTCTAAATCTATATGAAAGAAAAAAAATACATTAAAAAAAAATATCTCGTTAAAGATCTCTAAATTTATATAAAAGAAAAGAGTACATTAAGAAAGAATGTCTCGTTAAAGATCTCTTTTTAACGAGATATTCTCACTTAATCAATATTTTAAGAAAAGAATGCATTAAAAATTTCTAAACCTATATGAAATAAAGAGTATATTCACCCAATAAATTGTAAGATCTTAAAGTCCTTATTATCTTTAGGATCATATTATGACGGGTGTTGAAGCATGGCTTATCTATTGTTGAAGGAATGGTTAAATTTCTAAGAGAATATTCTTTATTAAGTAATATGTGCTTTCGTGGTCTAGTGAATCCAAACTCCAATAATGGGAGAAAAAAGATGATTTGTCTAAGAAATCTTCTTTTCAGTTGTCGCACGATATAACGATCGAGTTGACGTTTTATGTCCGTAACACATTTATAAAATTCAATTTAAAAAAAATAATAATTTTGTTTAAAATTTTATTGTTTGAATGAATTGATTAAATAAGTCACATAATTTCATTGTATAGAATAAATGAATGAATTATAATTTAAATAATAACAAAAAAGTATGATGTACGAATATAAAGCTAGTCATAGGAACAAGTTGCGTTTAGGGGAGTGGGATGCCCATTATTATTATTTTGTCACCATTAAAATAAGGGTGAGCAAACTCGACTCTACTCGAAAAATTAATTTTTTTCAATTTCTAGTTGTTTGAGTCGAGTTATTCAAGTTAACTTAAATTATAAATTCGGTTTTCAAGTTCGAGCAGAGTTGAAATTTTGAGTTTTCGAATTACTCAAAAAATAAAAAATTTGACTCAGTACTTTGACAATTTTACGATTTAGTCCCTTATTTCATTATTTATTCAATTCCTCCTTCATTTTAAGTTCATTTTTATCACATTTGAACCACATACTCCTAAACCATAGTAAAATACATGTGTACTTTCAATTCCTCTTTTTGATAACAAATTTTTTATTTTTCAATTTAGTCCTTCAATTTTTCATAATCTCCTTATTTCTTCAATTTGTGATTTATTTTAAGTCACTTTTTACCAAATTTGAACAACATACTCATATACCACAATAGAATACCTATATAAATTTAATTGTTATTTTTAACTAAAGATATATTGTTTTTTTATTTAGTCCCTAAACTTTGCATTTTACTCAATTTGGTCTTTTGACTACAATTGTTTTCATATCCTTTCTTCTCATCAATTCCTTGACTCATTTATACTCTCATCAATATTTTACCCTCAAAATAATTTCTTTAAAATATAATATTATTAATATATTTCATAATTTTAGATTGTATTTGATATATTAAATAACATTATAATATGAAATAATATATATATATATATATATATATATATATTATTGTTAGATAAAGTAAAAAAATTGAAACAAATCATTTTCATAATACTATAAATAATTATAATAAAATTAGTGCATAAACTCAAATAACTCGACTTGAATAAACTCAAATTTCTTAAACTCTAATCGACTCGAAAAATTTCAAGTTAAGTTAGAGTTGTAAAATACGACTCATCAACTCGAATAACTCAAAATTTTTTGACTCGACTCGATCGAATTCGCACCCCTACTATAAAGTATAATAAACCAAACCATTTCTACCCAGGGTGGATGCACTAAGCCCGGCCAAGTGCATTCCATTATTTAAGAGAAAAGGTAAATTTAGTTTAATATAATAAGAAAAAAAATAAAAATAATTTTTGCATACCCATTATTTTTAAAAAAGAATATTAAAATTTTGAATTCTTTCATTCTTAAATTTCTAGATTCATCATGTTCCTGCCTATTTTTGCAGTTTTCCAAGGTGTGATTTGTTTCTAATGAAACATTACCATTTGTCCTTCCTTACTTTTTCTTTTCACCTTTCTCATATAATATATATTAAAATAGAACTCTATGGTACAACCTCTTATTATAAAGTTAATATAAATCGCGACTAAAATATTATAGAGTAACATAACATTTTAGGTCGCGCAACATAAAATATTAATTTTTTTTTATTTTTTCGGTTGCAAATATATTTAAAGTTACAACCAAAAATATTATCATTTTCATAATATTTTAGGTTGCAACGGAAAATGTTAAAAAATATGATCTTTTAGATTGCGTTCAACCTAAAATATTATGTTGTTTATTACATTTTAAGTCGCGCTTTATAATATTTTAGATCACATATTTTTTTAGCCTCATATTAGGCTGTTGCACCCCATAACTCTTTGTTAAAATAATTAATCTTTAGTTGAATAAATACCTTGGCTAACCTTATCAGCCCATTGTAATAAAAATGAAATGATGAAAAACGAAAACTAATGCATCCACGTCAAGTTTTCTTAATTATTATAATTAAATTTATTACTATAATGATTTAAAATAATGAAACATGACCTGTTAAAAATATTTCTAAATTCTTATACTTGTCGAGGAATAATCCAAGTTGTCACTAGTTTATTTTTAATGCAATTGGTTTGCTAAGCTGTCCCTGTCCCTAACTAGCATTCAATTATTAAGCATAAGCCGGAGTTTATATATTAATGCAAGCACACAAAAAAATGCACCAACCATAATACGAAATTATTTGTTTGATAAACTATAAGCACTAGATTTGTTAAACAAAATAACTAAACTCATAAAGTTTTGATTCGAGATGAAATGGGAATTTAATACATTTTACGCCTAAGTTTTACGTCCGACAACTTCACCTTGGGGATCTGTATCATATCCCCAACATCCAGAACCTGTTGGCGACGCCGGCGAAGAAGCTGTTCGAATCGCGGCCGCATGTCAGCGCTTGGGTGAAGGAGATCACTGCTCGGCTGGCGTGGTCCAAGGTTCTCGCTATGCAGAAACAGTGAAAACACTCTTCAGTGCTGTTCAGTACTACATGTTTTTAATGAATAATTCTGGGTTTTCAGTGTTTGTGTTTCAATGGCTTTTGAGTGTCGTCTTCTTCTACCTTCGATGTGGAGATTGATGGTTTGATGCTTTGGTGCATCTTCTTGTGTGTTGTATCTTTGTGTGCCGTTCGCCACACTGCCTTCAAATTTCATGTTGAAGGCTTAGAGGCTGTGTTTCATCTCATCTATTGCTAATACAACCTACACTTTACTTCCTTTTTTCCGATAACTTTAGTCTTCGGATGCCAGCCAAAATAAAATAGGGCAAATTACGAGTTTAATACTTATATTATCAGTTTTGATATGTTTTAGTATCTTAGTTTTCAATTTTTTTTCAAAGTTATATTTAAAGTTTAATTTTTGTTTCATTTTAGTACTCCTATTGAAAGTTTAACGTTAAGTTTTGAAAAAAATAAAATGGACTAAAATTGATAGTTTATGTACTAAATGTATTAAGTTTTTAACGGCGGATATTAAAATGAAACAAAAATGAAACTTTAAGTATGATTTTAAAAAATTAAAAATTTAAGTATTAAAATTGATAAAAATTGATAGTATAGTTACTAAAAATAAAATTTACCCAACAAATAAAATATTCAACCATTGAATATATTATTTCTTAATTATTTTTTATATAATAATGTTGATAATGCGATGGCGACTATATTTTTGCACTGAAGTCGCGCAACATTCAGAAAAAAAAAATCAATATGGTTAATTACGTTAAATACAACTTAAATTTAAGTGATGTATTATTTATATCACTAGATTTTACATTTTTTAATTATATTATTAAACTTTGGTTTTAATTTAATTATACTTTTGAACCATTAAAATCCAAACGATATGATGAAATTAACAAAACAATATTATTTTATTGCGACTATTAACGCCTAAAACGACTTCCTTTTAGGCACTAAAATTTAGGAAAGTATATATTTTGCCTATAAGTTTTTAAACACATCGTTTTTTTGGTATTGCACTTTTTCCGTTACCGTTGGCTACCAATCACCATTCATCATTAATCATCTTTTGTGGCAATATTAGTACTAAAATATTTGTATTTCACTAATCTTTCTTCTCTTATGATTAGTTTTTCACATAACCCACTCAAATCGATGAAATTAAACAAAAAAAAATCTATCGTATTTTAGAAGTTTTGGGCTTTTTATATTTTAGGGATTTTGGATGTTTATTTGAAAATTCATACGGTGGGAAGTATTATTTCAATAAGACAAATAACATATCTCAAAATCAACATTATATTGATCATGAAAAGAGATCGGAGTATTAACATGTCGAACTTTTAAATGGATTTTCATTAATTTCGGGCGAATTTCATGGAAAACTACTCCTAAGAGAAGAAAGATGAGTGAAAAGCAAATGTTTTTATGTTGATCTTGTCAATCAAATATGGTTGATGATGGGTGGTATTTGACGGTCAATGATGGCCGAAAAAATACAATGTGCCAAAATTGATAAATCTCTAAAATTCAGTTCCTAAAACGACACGTTTTAGTCATCAATAATCATTACCAAAACGGCATCTTTTTTGTCCATATTTTCACAATGAAGAGATAATTTTTCCATGTCATTGTATTGTTAAAACTTAAAGGCTAGTGATTAATTAAAATCAAAATCGAAGTTTAATGTTATAATTAGAAGAAGAAGAAAACTAAAACTCTAGTGGTATAAACAGCACACCTTCTAAAGTTAAGTAGTATTTGTATAATTTATCCTTATAAATACTCAAAAGTCAAAGAGTTGTTGAGCTGATAATACATCTTTTTATTTTTAAAATATAAATTTTAGGATAAACTATGTATTTAGTATTTAAATTTTCAGTTTTAATCCGTTTTAGTGCTTAAACTTTAAATTTTTCAAAAGCATATATAATGTTTAGTTTTATTTCATTTTAGTATCACACCTTTAAAAACTTAAGGCGTTTAGTACATAAAATATTAGTTTTGGTCTGTTTTAGTTCAAAAATTATCGTTAAATTTTTAATGATAATATTAAAATAAAACAAAAACTAAAGTTTTTAACAGCAAATATTAAAATAAAATAAAAATTAAACTTTAGGTAATGTTTTGAAAAGATTAAAAGTTTAAATATTAAAATAAATTAAAAATGATAGTTTAAATACTAAACACGTAATTTAATCTAAATTTTAGTACGATTTTGATGTGTAATTTAATATTTAATTGTTTTTAACAAAAGAATTGGTCAAAGGGCTGAAGCAGAGAGTGACAATGAGGATGGTTGGGCTAACTGGAGGATTTGCATAGGGGAAGAGTACAGTCTCTTCAATGTTCAAGCACAATAATATTCCCATCGTCGATGCTGACGTCATCTCTCGTGTATTTTCTCCTACTATAACTTTTCCTTTCTTCGTTTTTGCACACCACATGTTCGATCAAATTACAATTAGAAAAAATAAGGGGAAAAAAGAATGTGGTACTACTAGTTTTTTTTTTTGCAAGGATGCTTTGAAAAAGGGGTTCGGCGGGTACAAAATGGTAGTGGGGGTATTTGGGCCGGACATTTTACAAGATGATGGCCATGTTGATCGTTTGAAATTGGGCCGGATCGTCTTCTCTGATGCCTCCAAACGTCAACTCCTTAATCGGTAGATTTTTTGTAATATCCTCTTCTATTGTCCTTATTCCGGTTGCCTACTAGTTCTAGAGGCCGGAATTTTAGCTTCACAAATGCTGATAAAAGTTAGAATTTGTAGTGTTGTATTTGTTCTTCTTTAAGTTGGTTTAGAACATGATATTCTCAAGTTGTCGCGATTGTCTTTCGGTTGGGCCCTGAATTAAACTTCGACTTGGAAAATGTGTTGGAGTCACCACCGATCATTTAAAAATATTTAGGTAGATCGGATACCATCTTACCTGATCTGCGTTATACCAGAAATGTGTCGAGCTCGGAAGTCGGTTACGGTCAATGAATGATTAGCACCCTTGAACCGTCCTTTCGGTACCAATTAATTTATCGGTTGTCTTTAATTGCGAAAATTCCAATTTAAATCAAAATAAAAAAAAATCAATTCAAATTACTTACCTTTGAGATTACTATTAAAAAAGGGTCAAAAATAATGTTAGATAAAAAAAAAAAAATCAAGGGACAAACAATTAATCGAACACATTTTAACATGTACAAACTCGAATACATCATAACCCATTTTAATACATAGAGAAGTAAAATATTAAACATGACAAATAATTAGTTAAATAAGAAAGCTTTAAAATAAGGATAAGTGAGTTTTAACTCGATTGGTACTTCACTGGTGCAACATAGTGGCATACAAAAGCACATGCAACGTTTAATGTATTAAAAAAAGGAAACATAATCAACCTCAAGTCTGATAATTTGTTCCTCAGTAAAGAGAATTTTGTCCAACAAACAGCAGGGGGCAACAATTTCATTTCTAAGCAAAATTATAACCACAAATACGAAACAAATGTTAACCTTGAAAGTGATCAGATCATTCTATTTCAGCAACACATCGGAGTAAGTTTCCATGAACTCACCGAGCTCAGGATCGGCTCCCAAGCAAGTAGGCATGATATCCCGTTAACATCGGTCTCCGTCAGAAGTTCCTCGAATATCCAAGCCATTCCCGGAGGTGCTCCGACCTGATGTTCCCTACATTTTTTCAGTGAATTGCTTGCACCAGGAAAAAAACAAAGAAAACTCTTTTAGTTCCTTCCATCTTCTGGCAATCAATATAAGCCTCAAGCAAACGAGGGTAAAAAGGGGGAGAAGCGATTTTTGCTTTGATCACGTTTGAAATGTCCACTTCTCGTTGAATTTTAAGAGTGATAGAAGTGGCTTCGGAGATGGCGGAGGCGATGGAGATTAACTCGTCGGATCCAAACGCCGGAACCCGATCGGAAAAACAAAGTCGGGTCTGACAATCGGAAGGAAGGACCGTGTTCTCCAGTGACATTAAGGCGTTGTCTACGTTCTGGTCTCCGACGGAATAGAATCCGTACACTTCATCCATGAAAAACAACGTCCATTTATTGTTAATTTAAAAGGTAAAACTGGAAGATTGAATTTGGTGAATTAGAGTGGCAGCAAGTGTTGGGAAGTGCCCTCTTCAGTTGTCTAACCCCATGCCTCCTTATTGAGAGGCAATTTGCCTTATACCTCTCTCCTTTGAGGCCCCACCCCTGCAAAATACGTGAGGTGAGTGCACAACCAACTCCCCACTAATAGGAACGGTTGAGATACGTGGGGTTGAAGTTGAATGGGTTAAGTGCCGGGTTTAATTTGTTGGAAATGGACCTACAAAAAAATATTAATAATAATAATAATAATAATAATAATAATAAATAAATAAATAATAATATAATAAAATATTTTTGTAAATCCGGACAAAAACGGATGTCTACACTCAAATAGTCTCTTATGGTGCTGATGTCATCAAATTCTGTTACTTTGGTGATGTTTCATTTCATCTAGGCTAAATGCCAGGAATGTCAGTGTCCTTTATCCCTGGAGGTATTCTGGACTGAGGTTTGATATATCATAGTCATTTACCTTGTCTTGGAATTGTGGATTGCATTGATCCAAAATTTGGTTAATTTTCTTCTCGTAGGTTATTGGCTCCTTGTATATCTTCTGGCCTCTTTTTAGAAATTTTGAAGCTTTGGATAAAGGGTTATAAGGTGATCGTTCTTGACATACCATTGCTGTTCGAGGCCAAGTTGAATAAGTGGACAAAACTCATTGTTGTTGCTTGGGTTGATGCTGAAACACAGCTCCGACGACTTATGGGAAGTGATAATTCGACAGCTGAGGATGCCAGAAATAGGATAAGTGCTCAGATGTCTCTAGATTTGAAGAAGAGCCGAGCAGATATAGTGATAGATAACACCGGATCACTTCATGATTTGCAGGAAAAGTTCGGCGACGTACTGTCTCAGGTCAAAAGGCCCTTGACATGGACTGAATTCTGGCTTTCCAGGGATGAAGCCTTATCAGCACTTCTTGGTGTGATAATAGGTGTTCTTGGTCAAGAAACTCTTTTAGAAGTTTATAGGTAACACAAATACAATCACCATCTTCTTGTGGTTTAAAACTGGGTATAACTCTGGTCTTTTCTTGATAAGGAAGTGATGTTGTAGACTTGTAGTATTAAATGACAGCAATTAAGCTTAATTACTCTTATTGTTGCTAGTTTTATATATACGATTTCTCTGCTGCATCTTTTACTTAAAGGTTCTGACAAATTATTTTAAAAGTCATGTAATAGTTGAGCTTTTTCCTTGTGTTATGTACCAAACGTGGCATTCTTTAAATGCGAATCTGAATATATTTTTTTCTGAGACGAAAGACCTCTGATGTAAAGCTGAACTTGCTCCTTAGGATAAGCATACTTTAGAATGGATTTATATATGGCATTGGTTTCTTTTTCCTTTCTAATGTTTTAGAACCATAGAAGTAGATACCTTTTGGTGCTGCTGCAGGCTTACAGGGTTCGCACCAGGCCGAAGATATTTCATTCAGTGGAAAACTATTTCAGCTTGCTTTTTTTCCCAATAATCATCTCCAGGGGAGCTGATATTTTACTTTCTAATTAGAAAGTTCCCTCATGTGCCCATCCCAGTTTCATAATTGAACCTGATTCATCTGTTATTACTCGAATAACATGATCGAGTTTAATTACTACATTTTTTTATTGCCTTGTTTTATGGTTTGATTGTTCTCTACTTGGAATTTATCATCCGAGGTAGTCCTTATTAGAGTTATTCTTCCCAGGTTTTCCGTGCTTCACAATAACTTTTGAAAGTCTAGTGATTGAAATGGTCATCTTAACATTGTTGAGTGACCATTTGTGAATTTTACTCTATTTCATACTAATAGTGAATCTCGGGTGGGATCAATGGTGGTATACGTAAACAGTTCAATTCCCCTCCTATAAATATACTTTATAAGTCGTAATCTTTCTCATTTTTCATCTGTAAAGTCGTTCGTCTCCCCTTTCTCAACACTCCCCCATTCTCTCTCAGAAGATGGCTGCCGATCAAGATGCCGTTGGAGGAGCACTGAAATATAAGGTCCATATGGGTATTTCATCATTTGCTCATTTCTGGTGCATTTAATGGTAGTTTTCTAACTGAGTTGACTCATCCTTTACTGTCTTATAGACATGGGTTTTGAAAGTCCTCATCCATTGTGAAGGCTGCAAGAAGAAAGTCAAGAAAGTTCTTCATGCCATTGATGGTACGTGCGCATGTTACTGTTCCTGGTTCGTTACAAATGGTGATTCTGCTTCAGTTTGCTTCTTGTTTATCTCGTTTTTAATATTTGTTTATTTTTCTCCAGGTGTTTATGAGACGAAGATAGATTCTCAACAGCACAAGGTGACGGTCCTTAGCAGCGTGGATGCAGAAACGCTCATCAAGAAGCTGACCAAGTCTGGAAAACAAGTCGAGCTTTGGCCGGAATTAAAGCCTGAAAAGAAAGACAAAAATCCCGGCAAAAAAAACAACAATAACAAACAGAAAGATGGCGGCGGAGAAGCCGGTGGTGGTGGTGGTGATGATAATCATGACACAAACAATAATAATTCAGCAGAGAAACCGAAACCAGCCAGCGCCGCCACTAAAGGCACTGCCAGAGATAACCAGCATGACCAAATGGGAGGCAAAAGCGAGGAACTCGACCCTACACAAAGTTCTAGTGGTGCTACCAATGGAGGTAATAAAAAGAAGAAAAAGAAAGGCCAAAAAGCCAACCCTAGTCCCAACGGCGATACTCAATCGGCCGTGGCACCTTCGGACCATGCACCAATCAATCCGAGCCCTCGGATTCAGCCAATGTACCCTTACACGCCTCTGCTCTATGGCTTTCCATTTTGTGGGGTAAGTTACAACACCACTTACCCTAGCTCAAGCTCCTTATATTTCTCCCCTACAATGCATTACGTGCCACCAGCTCCAGCGTCCGATCCAAGCGATAAATTCAGTGAGAATTATTACTACCATGACGATGATGAAAGTGGCTGCTCAATCATGTGAAACAAGGGATTAATCATGTATGCAAATTTGAAAGGAAAAAAAAGGCACTTTTGCTTAGGGAGAAATCAAAAGCTGTTCTTACTTTTTATTGGGGTTTGGAGGGTTTTATAGTTATTAGCTTGTCTTTATTTACGTTGTTTGTAATAACTTTTCTTTTGGGGTTTCGCTATTAAGGACTATAAGCCCTTTTTAAGGGGTGTTGTAGGGTCTAATTTCTCCTCTTTTTCTTATTTATAAATGAAGAAATTTTGTTAATACTCTCTCTCTCTCTCTCTCTCTCATTTTCCCATATGTATGAAAGAAATGGTTGAAGATATCTATTCTCTATATATGTTCTTTTGGCTAAAACATTTTGGTATTTTACTAATGTCTTTTGCTTTCAACATGAAGGGATATTAGTGGGTTCTCACGTCTCCCAAAATAAAGAAAATGTTTGTTTATTTTCAAATTTATATATACATTTTCCTTCATATCCATTGCAATACAGAATTCTCTTTTGTTTACAACCATTTTAGCAAAATAAAGTAAAAAAAAGAGAGACTTTTTTAATAATACTATATAATTATAAAATCATATTTATTTTAAAAATAATATTTTCATAACTTAAACCACTTAATAAATTTAAAGATAAACTACACATTTAGTAACTATCAGTTTTGATCCGTTTTAGTATCTAAACTTTTAATTTTTTCAAAATCATACCTAATGTTTAGTTTTTGTTGTATTTTAGTACTCGTTAAAATTTAACACGTTTAGTGCTTAAACTATCAATTTTGGTCTATTTTAGTACCTAAACTTTCAATTTCTTTTCAAAATTTAACTTTAAGTTTTTAACAGGATACTAAAATGAAACAAAAACTAAACATTAGATATGGTTTTAAAAAATAGAAAGTTTAAGTACTAAAATAGACTAAAACTTATAGTTTAGGCACTAAATATGTAATTTACCCTGATTTTGAAAAAGGAATAATAATAAATTTTTTCTTTTATTTTTTGATAACATTATTTATAAAATCTAGTCAAGTACCCCACCTTTCTTTGTCTCTTCTCCAACTCAATCACTTGAAGAATAACACATTGTTTGATTCCCTAAATACCCAATATTTAAAAAAAAAAATCAAAGTTCTTAATAATTATTACTATCTAATTAATATCACGAGCTAACCTAAAAAGGTTGAAAAAGTATACAATTTTATTAATACCAATAATTTAACAATTCATGAACTTTATTATTTTTTTACAAAGCAACCAATTTTTTTTCAAAATAAGAAATATCCCAAATTACAATAAAGATTTACAATCACAACCGTAAATTAAACACATAATTAGTAAAATTTCCTATAATCTTTGAAACAAAACTAGAAACTTAAGATCATATAAGGACCATACAAGGAAAGATTAAAACTAACCAAGAAACTTGAACAAAGATATATACAAGCAGATCTGATTGCATTGAAAAACGAACAACAAAAAAGGATCAAGCTATTGAAAGACCACCGACAAACCACAAATCATACTCGAACGATGTGAAAAGCTATCCACAAACGCAAATCGGATATCCAAATCGAATCCGAGGGTCTAAAGCATAGAAGATCACAAGATATCAGATAAGTGACATATTGATCAGTCGTGGCAATGCTAAATCAACCCTTAGAAAAAGGTAAATGAAAAAACAACTAAAATCGAAAAAACATGCCAAAAAGAATAAGAAAATGTGTCATAAAGGCTGAGAAAAATGTGCAACACGGGCAGATTTATTGGAAAAAAAAATATCGACATCGGTAACTAACATTAAAGTTGGTGTCACCGTCGATCAATAAAGACGAAAAAGAAAAGAGATGAGTGGCACACCAATAAGAGATGAGCGGCACACCAATAAGAGAAAACTAGATTTTTTCTAGTGCTCAATAAATTAATGAAATAAATTTAATTCATTAATTTTATTAATTTAATTGATATTTGAGATACAACATATTGTTGTTGGGAATAAAGAAATCATAGATAAATTAATGAAGAGTTGAGAACAATTATTTATTTAAAAGTTTAAAATTATTATTATTATTATTATTATATATATATTAATAATTTATTTTTTTATAAAATTTATAGGACTAAGAGACACGACAACATGAAGATATGGTAAGATCTTTGTTTTGAAAGCCTCAAGTAGAAACTGAGGGAAAATGCAAGGACACATATTATATCCTTTGCTTTGTTTAAGGGTAAATTATACCTTTAATATTTAAACTATCATTTTTTGTCTGTTTTGATATCTAAACTTTCACTTTTTTAAAATCATACCAAACATTTAGTTGTTGTTATGTTTTAGTACCTCACCGTTAAAAACTTAACGAATGATTTGCACATGGTGGCTTTTTATGGGTAAATCACATCATTCATCGCTCAACTATCTTCTCACTCTTATTTTGGTCATTAAAGTTTAAATTGTTTTTAATTTAATTACTTAATTCAAATTACTCGTACTTAATTTAATTACTCTAACTTTCAAACTTATTTTTGTAATTATATATTAATAAAATAACATTCCCTCTGTCTCGTTAAATCTGTCCACTGTTGACTTTTTTTGTCAATTTTTTTTAACTTTGACTCATCATTATTTAAAATTTATTATTGATAAAACTATGAAAAAATATATTTTAAAAACCTTAAATCAAGTAGTTTTTTAATATGTATTTCATAAAATTTAATTGTTTAAAATATTTAAAATAATCATGGTCAAAGTTAAAAATTTTGACTTTTTGAAATTCAATAATGGACACATTTAGTGGGACGGAGGGAGTAATAAAAATGTCATGTTACAAAAATTATTAATAAAATAAATTAGAGTGATTAAAATAGGAGCATTTTGAAAGTTGAGTAGTTAAATTAAAAATTTTTATACTTTAGTACCAAAATAGTAGTGAGAAGATAGTTGACTGATAAATAATGTAATTTACCAATAAAAATGCAGCGTCGTTAAGTTTTAAGCGACGAGGTACTAAAATGGAACAAAAACGAAACGTTAGGCATGATAAAAAATTTAAAAGTTTGAGTACTAAAACGGACCAAAACTGATAGTTTAGATAAAAAAACACTTATAGTTTAGATAATAAACACGTAATTTACTGTTGTTTTTATTACCAAATTTGACCCTTTCATTTTAATTGAATTTGATGTCGGAATAAATAAATTTTAAAATTAATTATCACTCCACTTAATATTATTTACTAAATAAATTTTAATAAATATTATTATGTAAAATATTTTCTTTACTCATTGTTATATAAAAAAATTATTTAAAATTCTATTAAAAACTAGGGTAAACTATACCAAAGACCACCCAACTATAGCCCCTTTTCATTCCGACCACTATTTTTGAATTCTTGTCAATCAGACCACCTAATTATTTAAATGCATTCAATCAGATCACTAGTCGTTAACGGTTAACCATTAACAGAAGTGTTAATGTGACAGTTAGTAAAATTGATATAATTTACATTTAGTCCTTACTACTTACACAATCTATAAAGTGATCATGATTTTAAATTAATTCAATATATTTAATCCTTTAATTATATAATGACACGTGTCAGAATATCATTGGATGACTTTTATTAATTTAAAAGAAAACAAATTGAAACAAATGTGCTGACATTAAGGGTAGGGAGAATCAAACCTCTACCCCTTGGATGATAAGGAACCAGCTCAAACACTGCCCTAAGGTTATTTTTTGACATAATTCTCACATCAACTAATATTTATCTTATAATATAATGAAGGTTAGAACAATAAAAACACAACAACACTAAAATGACTCAAATCAGGTCAAATATAAACAATATATTTTAAAATATATTATTTTTTGGGTGGTTCAAACATAATAAATATATTATGTTGACCATCTAAAATATAATAAAAATAGAAACAACACTAAAATGACTTGATTCAAATAAATTAATATTTTAAAATATATTGTTTATATTCAACCCTCCCCACCAAGATAATATATTGTTTATATTCGACCTGCCTCGACTTGATTCGAATAAATTAATATTTTAAATAGTTGAAATAATATTTGACCCATATTGAGTTTAAGTAAAAATATATTATTTTAACCATTTAAAATATAATAAATAATTATAAGTATATTATTTCAACTATTTTAAAATATTAATTTATTCGAATCAAGTCGAGGCAGGTCGAATATAAACAATAAATTATCTAGATGGGCCGTGTAACACCCCCAGACCCGTACCCGACCCGAATACGAGTATGAGGTGTCACATTGACTTTTCAAACTTAGACTCTTGACAAAATTCAAATAAAATTTAAAACTTTCATTAAAGTAAAAGCGGTTTATTTACATAAATTGACCACAGTAACCAAAATCGATCAGAGCATCTTTAACTCAATCAATTAGTGCATGCCAATTATATTCAAAATAACCAAACACATTTAAATCATCTATTTTCTAATCTGAAATTTTGTAAGGGAGATGCTGACCTGTCTTGCTCTTATTCGCTTCTCTTCTCGCTTCTGTAACCTACGTGTGAAACAATCACACACATACATAACTAATTCCTTTTATGCACATTTCATGTAATCATGATAAACCATAAAATGCATCCAAACATATATATATATATATATATATATATATATATATATATATATATATATATATATATATATATATATATATATATACCATTTCCTTTTTACCTATTATTATTATTATTACTCATGTTTAATATATATTATACTTATTGCATTTTGTATATCATATACATACATATTGTTTAACAAAGAAATACCCATATCATCATATAATTTTGGTAACATATTTCCTAACACAAAACATATAAAGCGTATGTAATAAATTTCTCATTATCTCTTTAATAGTCTTATTTTCGTTCTTTATCTTTTAGTCATATGTTCTTGTATCTATTCTTCTTAACCAAGCTATATACACATCACCATCATATCACATATATCATTTCACCATAAAGATTACAAACAAAGCACATAATATCATACAAGGTTCTTTTATATCATCTTCTTTATTAGCCCATGTAAACATGTGAGAACTGTAAATATGTGAGTCTATAGAGGTTGTGCACTAATGTTATCACCACAGCTCGTATAAATGC